ACGTGTATATACGTGTATATATGTACTATATACACGTATGTACACGTATATATATACGTGTACATATGTACGTGTGTATATGGCGAAAATTTGTCATTCAGTGAATACCTTTGAGGAGAAAAAGCGAACATGGTGTTCGTACTGTTTCGACATTTTTTATCCTGTAAGCCCGTCTGAACAGGATGTTTTAAGCTAGCTAGCTTTTCGAAAAGAAATGGATAATAGAGTGTGCGGACACAACTAAAGTTTGCGACAGACTGCTGTGTGCTCGCTGTGAATGAACGCGCCAAAATGTATAGGAGTTCTTTCTACCTCGTTTTTTTTTTTTTGGCCCCGTAAGTTGTATTGTAATATGCAGACTAGTTGCAGAAAAAGATGCGCGAAGTAAACTGGCCTGTTGTGCTCTGTCAAGCCGTGAAACTGAATCTTGTAAGTCCCCTACTCAAGGATTAAGGAGATTCGAGAAGCTGATTTTAGTTCTCAGATTCGTGCATGGCCGGTGGATGAGGATGCCCCATTGATTGTACGAGGTGATTTTCAGTTCCAAGCGTTAATGGTGCATGCCTGAAGTGAAGAGTTACTCTATCCAATTTTCGATCGCATTCTTTAAAATCTGGAGTAGCAAAATCCTTTGTTAAGGATAAATGGTAAGATCCAAGCCTGACCACTTCCTGAATTCCTCTAAACGTGCTTTTAATGGCTTTTTGATAGCAGCGCCAAGTTCACTAAGTGCATCTCGGTAATTATGTTTGCTGTGGAATTGGATGTATGATGAAAAGAGACTGCCACTAAGGATAATTTTAGTGCAACAACCAGCTTTCGAAGCGTGAGTCTGCAGTGCGAGTGTAAATTTTATTCTTTCTATGGTTGTTTTCTTGCATTATCTAGGCCTTTTTATGCCAGTACTGCAAAAATTATAAATTAACAACCGGTCAAAGTATCGCTGGCGGGTGTGGTACCGCGTGAAGTAGCGCTGTTGTTTTGCAGAAGGTCCAAAATTCAATTCCACGGATGAGATTAATCAGCTGCTTTGCAATTCGAAGCTGGTACTGACACATGCCCGAGAGTTAAACTCGCCATAAACTTATTTATAAAACAATCCTCGGGAAAAGAACCTGTCAACAACTTGCTAGCTGATAGCTGCTGTTGGCATTTACCACCACTCGGTCTATTTCCTTGAGCCTATATTTCTCAGAGAGAGAGAAAGGGAGAGAGAGAGAAAAAGACAAATATAGGTTTTTTTTTAGTTTTGCTTGCTGAAACAATCGAAATAGCAACACTGGCGCAAACTATCGATTCAAGTAATTAGCTGCTGTTTACATTTGGTGAGTATGCGTATTAGCATATGCAGAAAAGATTGCCATACATCAAAAATAATCTTTCGGTGATGCATTCAGTAACTGCGAACTATCAAAATTTCAATCACCTAAGTGTTTTGGAAATTTTAGGTATATAAACAGTTAATATCCGTGACCAGGAGATTGGAAAAGAACGAAAGGCTTAAAATTGTCTATGTGTTAACATATGCAGTTGATTCAATTTTGGTAGCCCGCCGTGGAAAGAAAACATAGTCGAATTTTGATAATTTGATGAAAACATACAGAAGCGGCATTTAGATCTCCCATATAGGCAAGTCAGTGTGTACTGGGATTGGCAGCTTGTCGGTGTTTCTTCCCTAACTTGCTTAATCCTGGAGTTGTAACAAAGAAATTGAGATTTATCACATTTGAGAAAGTGGAAGTGTGAGAACTTTGATTAGGCGGGCGGAATTGAAAAGCGTAATTCGAAAAAGGGCAGCTGCTGTTCAATTCTTCGAAAAACAAAAGAAATTTCCTAAGTGGAAAGCGGTTCTGCAGAAAAACGGTACAATTAACGGTTATTCGGAAAAAAGGAGAGGGAAAAAGTCATTTCGTATATATAATTTATGGGTTCAGAAATAGCCATTAAAAATTTGTATTATTCTACGTGCTTACCGTTTCACTACTATCGTTCTCACAATTCGCCGCTGATATCTGCATCGGTTTTTTGTAAAAAAACATGTCCATTTGTGGGATGCATAACGAATTATTAATTTAGACTTGCTGAGCTATGAACAGCGGAAGAGGAGGGACAAGACTATGAAACGATTGGCAGACTGAAAAAAGAAGAGGAGGGCGGAAAACAAGAATTCTGGATTTTGATGAATATGGCATGGAAATTTCGTGGAAACACAGAATTCGACTTGAACGCTGGCCGTAATGCATTTCGCTCGAACGGAAGCTTCGATGATTGGGAGAATGCTGGTGAGTATTATGGATGGAAGATAAGAGCCTTTCCAGGGCCAGAAATTCAATAGATTTTTGAGCATTAATGGCATAACGCAAAAAAAAAATCATTCTGCACTTGTTTATGTATTTTCATGCAAGCCAGCAATACATGCGGCTGAACTAGGTTTGCGCATGCGTGTTTGGTCCGTCTAATTCAGCTTTCAAAGTGGAAAAAAGATTCATGAAATTTTTGAATCGTTTCCTCGGCATCGCATGAGCTATAAGTTTTTTGTACTATTTTCATCTTCCTTTCTTTACTGGCTTATGAATTCAAGTCAAAGTTTTGCGTAGTCGTGGCCTGCAAATTATTGCACAACCAAAATTTTTGGAGTTAATTCACGGACTAAAGTATGCGTAGCTGAGCAACTTGAAATCAACTCAAAAATCAACGCGCTTTTTCAAACACTATGAAATGTTTTCAGTTTGCCCTCGTCTTTTTCCTTTTCATCCTCTGATTTTTGTGTGTTTCCCTTTATTCCCTTATTTTATTCACATCCATGTAAGCATTTTGGATCTTTGACCTATGCGATGGCCTGAAGCCCAAATTTAAACAACTTATTAATGTCCGAAATTGGAGAAAATTTCGCATTGTAGTTCATATTGAGTTACATGTGTTTTTTAAAGCTTAATGCTAACACATTTTGTGCTATGGCTTTTTTATATAGGTGCTGGTGTTGCAATTTTTTGGGGAAAATTGCAAACCTCAATTGGGCTAATTTTACCAAAGCAAGACAAGTTGAAAGATTATCAAGATGAAGCGTCCTAATCTTCTTAATGTATGGTGGGCTTCGGTCACTGTTTTGCCGCAACCCCCAATTAGCAGCGGAATCCTAACGTGCGCCATCATCTTTTTGGCGTTTCTGCTTAATAAAGATGTTAATTATAACATATACAAAAATCTAAAATTACATTAAAAAATTAGATGGGCGAGGACATCCCTATTCAGCAGCACAACAGGTGGATTTCGTCAGTACGACGGTTGCGGTGTTAATAAAAAAAATAAATGAAATAAATTTGCTCAGAAGATAAGGTTATAATTTCAAAGGGTGAAAAATGATTAAGTCTTGCTTTTAGATTCCTTATTGAGTCGACCACCCCATAGCCGTAGGATGTAATGACGATTACCAGGGGATTAATGTGCTCATCATGCGCATTGTGCAGAAATGAATGGCATTAGACTAGGTTCTCAGCTCTAGCCTAATCTTATTTTCAAATAAACTCTAATGACTTCAGAATGAAATAATTCACAGTTCCTAAGTTTGACGCATTTCTTGTGCCGAATGGATTGAAAAGACTATTATAAGTACAAGTGCTTTTGTGATGTGATAACGTTTATAATATTATACGCTAGAAAAACCTGATGTATAAGTAGCGATGTTCACTAGTTGTGTGTAAGACGGGCAACATTCCTAACAGAAGGCATGCAGCTCAGGACTGAGGGCCTAGTCACATCACGAACATGGGAAACCCAAACCGAGTGGTACTAGTTATCTATATAATTCGACTGAATAAGGATTACTCACGCTTCGCTCAACACGCTAAGGACACAGTAGTTCCTTAGAATAAGAACTTGTCAACCGCTCTTTGGCAGATGCCTATAAAATAGGGAAATAAATAGTAGCAAATAATACAAGATGGGCGAGAATGATTGAGATAAAGGGGAGATCAATCAAAATACTTGTCAAGGTGAAGAAAAGTAATCTCAGGAAGCGGGGAGGCGGGGGGAAGGGAGGGGAAGAAGGGGAACACTTTATATCTTTTCCCTCAGTTTTCCTCAGTAGTGTATTTACTTGCTGAAATAGGTGCGTACTAGCGATTGGGTCACTGAATATTTTCCCTTTGTTAAGTGCCAATTACGTAAGGGATTTGTGTGTGTTTTTTTGTCGGCACAACGTGATAACACATGTTTGTATAGAAAAATTTGCAGTCTGTTGGAGAGCTTGTGAAACCTCGTGGGAATACTACTATAAAACCAACTATGCTATTACATTAGTTGAGCACGCTGCTGAATTTTTCAGTTTTCTCATGGGCTCTCTTAAGTTCGCTAAAAATGCAAGCTTGTTGCCTAATTCCTCAAGGCCACTGTCACTCCGCCCAAAATCGATCCACAAATCAATGCGGTGAGTTGTAGCTAGCATAGCGCCATGGATTTCCACGACACATTTTACATGTGTAGCCAAAACTAGTACTATTTTTGATGACTAGTAAGAATTTTTGTTCGCTGCCTGAAAAAGAGCGATAAGCGGAAAGAAGCGAGTGCAGATGATTTATTCAAAATAGCACAGCTACAAAAATTGTTCATATTCTGAAAGCAATCAAAAAACAGTCAGTTGAAACACCGTAAATTCGCTTCAGTTTTGCGTGGGCATCTAGTAAATTATCAAAAATACCAAGACTGCTCGATAATTTTGGTATGGGAATTTCGCGCTATTGACATAAGCAGCTATGAAGCTACATACCTCCACTTAGTACCCTTTGCTTCTTCGATACATGTGCGCCAAACATTTCGGGAGTTGTCTGTAAAATTAGTTTAAAAGGTCAGTCTGTTAATGCTGCTAATGGTTCGCATTATTTAGTCCGGCAGGTAGAGTCTTCTGCATGATATTATTTTTCGTGAAGCGTCATCAAAGTTGTATTTTTTTTCTTTTATCATTATGCATCCTGCTGTGGGTTTGGCTTCTTTGACGCTCATAGAGCTATATTTAAGGGAACTTGTCTAGTTAAACCATTCAAAATTTTTAACCAATACGTGTAACACTTTCAGGGTTCACATAAAATTTCTTGTTTCCTAACCCAGTTTTGGTTCTTCATCACTTTCAGTTATTTTTTGCACGCCTCCCCATCAAGTATCAGGTTAAGCTCTTCAGATTGGAGGCAACCCCTTTAGTGTTGAGATGCTGACTCCGTGAAGAAATTCTAGTCCTAATGCTGGGTAACGGGGTAAGAAGAGGAAGGGCGGGAGGAGGTGTAAGGAAAAAGTAAGCCTCCTTAAACACTTTTGTCGAAACTGCATATTTGCAGATGGTGAAACGATAATGCGCAGAAATTCTGCCATGCGTTCATTTACCGAATCGGTAGATTCCGATTTACCGCCTGCCCCTGAGCTGCCCCCATCGTTGAACATTGATCTGCAGTATCCTGAAGAAACGATGAAAAAGAGTGAAACTTCAGAAACTATCATCGAGGTAGCTTTTTTTTTAACGCCAACTGATTGTCCTGTACAGCTAATTGTTTTTACTGTTTTCGAGAACTCTGAAACAACTTCTCTTACTAATTCAAAAATATGCTGTCCAGTCTAATTTGCAGCAGAATTTTAGAGGAAACCGGCACAATCAATCCACGAAGTAATTAGTGGCACTCAGAAATATCCAATGATGGTACCTGGCCCTGGTCACGTGGATGCAGAGCGCGAGCTGCACGCCAGCTTGCTTCATCAGGAAGACGAAGGATCGGAAAGTGATGTTGAAATTAGTGCTTTTGATGTGAAACAGACGACGGCTGATAACATGCCCGAAGAAGTTAGTTAATTTGGAATTTTAAAATGAAATTCGTTAAGGCACCAGCACAATTTTTCAGGCGTTTTTATAAGATTTAGATGTTAATGGATGTTAACAGCTTCGTTCCTCCCAGTATTAAACTGAAATTTTGGCAATTTAGTCTTCTGATATGTACGGCTCCCCAGGATTATAAACGTTCACGTACAGCTAGTTTCAACAGTGTTCTTCTCTAACGATGGTTTTTGCTTCGCAGAAAATTTTATTTGGCTGAGAATTCTGGCATTCACTGTTGTAGGATTTTTTTTTATGTACACAGTTTGAATAAAGAACTGTTGCTGTGAATAAAGGACTCAGAGCCACAATCTGAAAACAGCGACGTTGATACTTTCCCGCCACCTAGCTGTTGGGACTGTGATAGTGGAAGGAAGCTGCGTAACAGTTTCACGAGGGTGTTCTGGAGCTGTAGGTGCAGTTATAGCAAGCACCAAATGGATAATCAATTCAACCACTTACGCTATCTCCAGTATGGACGTGCCTATGCGCATAGCAACTGTTACCAAAGACCAGTCTGCATTACAGATCAGATGCAACTTTCCTCTGCTTAATGCTATTCCTTGCAGCGAGTCGCTACGTAAACCAATGTACTAATGTCTCGTTCAGGAAACAATTTTTCAGCCGAGAGCAGCAAAATCACGTGATCCAGAACATGAAGCGTTGCGACGTGGTTATTCGGTATCAGCTCTGGGACGACCGCGACCAACCACTCCAACGTCTTGGTGTGCTATTGAGAATTACGTGGAAGGCTCATTGGATCTTGGTGACCAAACACCAACTACTACCACTTCGCAGAAGAAAATTCGTGTCAGCATACCTAACACGGATATGCCGCAAAGTAAACCTTTTTTGACCAAACACTGATGCATGGAGTTGAAGGAATGAAACTAAGGTTTATCCCTGTATCCGTGTTTCTTTTATTTCTCCTTTAATCACTTACTTTTACTTGTTACTCAGAAATTAGGCATTTTCCAACTTCCCTCTAACGTGCTTAAAACCCTGGTGCGGTCGTCTATGTGCTCAGTGGCCTCTGCAACTGTGTCCCAGCTTTTCCGCCTACATGATTTTTTTTTTCTAGTTGTTCCTATAGCGACATGGATATCATGGGAGTGTAGTTCATTTGTTCAGATATTTGTCGCCATTTGTGTCGAACGGTGTCGGTGCTTTGAAATGCAAACTCTTCTTTTCCTGAATCTAATTTGCCCCATTGGAACAAGTATTCCCCCGCTGCATCCGTTAATTGATTTACTGTACAAAAAAATTCTCTCACAACAACGAAAAGTAGTCAAATGTTCATGCAACAAAGTTTTTTAGCACTAACTGCTAAAACAGTAAACCACGCTATATCTAAGTTATCCTGTGGTGAGACCTGACTAAATTTCAATAAGCGCGGTTACTCGTACCTGACATAGCTCGGGTGAAACATTTACTGCTCTCTCACCGCTTTTTATGAAGCGGCATCGCTTAGCTACTGGTTGTGAAATTTCGAATCCTAGCGACAAGCTGGTGCCTCCTAATTGACCTCATGTCAGCCTGAATGAATTTTTTGTTCTTTTGACTCAGCGGAGCACCGAATGTTAATTGATTTTCACGCATTTCTGCTTTCCATTGAATTCAATTTGTTACATTTCGTTTTATGACTTGATCAATTTATCACTTTTCTTTGAAACTAAATTTGAATGCCCAACTGAAAATAATTTTACTAGTTTCAAATGAAAGTACTTTTAGTGCCAAAACGAAGAAGAGCATCAATGTCGTGGTCTGATTTCTATGAGGCAATGGCTGCGCATATACCTTCACAGGTATTAATTTTTACGGTTTAGTAACATCAAGAGTATTAGGTTGACGTTAGTTTGCAGTACCCAAGTTTAGTCGGGCATATGTGGCGCAATGTCTTCTCGACCTGTTTGGAGCTGCCAGAGTTTGTATTCCATCGTGTCTTGACAATGTCTAATCTATACCATTCCCAGATCACGACGAGAAAATATCCGGTTCAAACACAACTTCTGTTTATAGCATTTCATCAAGTCTTGATTTTATTTATTAAATGAAATTTTTAAATCTTTATAACTTCTTAAAAAGCGTGCAAATAAGACGTCATGACGAAACTGAACCGATAATTACTTCCGGACCAAAACATCTTGCCTCAGTTCCTCATCTATTACTTTTTTTTCGCACCCAGCCAGTCCGTTTAATAACATTACAATTTTATCCGCACTTCTGTTTCGGATCACTTTCATTTAAGGATTCCAGAAGCAGTGCATGAGAAACAAAACATTCGGTAAATTTTTAGTAAATCAAAACCAAAGAGAACAGGATTAAGAAGATTGTGCACGATTTTTTCATTCTCCAGATTTTTTGCATCCTTATAGCTAAGCTGAAAACAAACCAAAGGTTTTTCATAGGCACGTCGGTCGGCTTCCGGTCGAACGACACCGCTAAATGATTATGATGGCGATATTTTGGAGGAAGATCCGCGGTACAAAAAAGTAGCGCCACCTAAGCCAGTCATCCACCGACGCGCATCCACTGACTGGGAAAGCTTCATGGATACAAGTAATATATTTGTACATTAGTTTTTTTTTTTTGAGAAGCAAAATCAGCCTGTTTTATGGTACGCTTTGTCTTCACAGCTGCAGGAGAAGTGGGGGCGGATGTGCTGATTTTTTTGGGTAACTCGAAGTTATTTTTGACCAATTATTCAAACTTTTTGAGAAATTCAAAGTTAAAAGCTTAATTTTGACTTATTCTCTAAGCAGTTTTGATTTTCCGAGAGGCAAATGCCATACGGTGAATTTCTTACGTGTGTTTTCTTGTAGTAATTTTTATTTTTTATAAAACTAAACATTCATATTTCTTACCTTTTAAAAATTCGTCACTGCTTGTTAGTTAACTAAAATTTATTGTTATTGCTTTGTGTTGCAGAATTTTTTTCTGCCTTCAGTCGTTTCAAAAAATTCCCAAGAGCTTCTTGTCCTTCGTCATTAAAATTCCAGAAGTGTTTCGCTCTCCGACATCGATCCTCCTTCGTCCCCTGTTCTTCTCATAGCCATTCTGCCTTCCCAAGAAAAACCGTTTCTAGCTGAGTTATTGGGCCAAACACCAGCAAGGATGCGATTTTACTTTTTTAGCTTGATCAAGCCACAAGGACTTTTACACGCGTCACAATTCATTTATTTTCAAGGCCCATAGATCCTCACGAAAAATCAAGACCCCTCCCTGTGCTTTTGCTTTTATTAGGAAAAAGTACGTAAAAGAAAGTTTTGATCTTTTTTAATGGGCTTAAATTTGCTGTGTTTTCATAAGCAAATTTCAATAATAACTCGAAAAATAATTTTCCGCACTATGATAAATTGTTGAAAATAGTACCTGGAACTGCTTTCGTTCTCCAGCTATGCAAATAACTAGTTATCCGATTGCTCTGACCGTTGTTACTTCGCCTAGGAGTTTGCCTGGTGGCGATTTTGACATTAGCTTTTTCTGCTGAAAACAACTCAGCAGTTCCCTCAGGAGAAACAGTTTCGCAAGGCTTTGGCAGTTTCGAGGTGTGCCGTTGGTGGAATGCTGTCACTCCTAGACGCAGTGAGATATCTCATTAGTTGAAAGCCATCAAACTTGTTAAAAATAATACAACAATTCAATTAAGACAGCAATTCGGCCGAGGCATAATTGGAATTTGTAGCACATTTCCGCTATGTGTGGTTCCACATATATTGCTGCTGTTATTTGCTTCTGTGCTTTAATATTTTGCCCAGACTGATCTTCAACAAAAAATTCAAAGTTGGTTTTATCGACATATCTTGCACCTCACTGCGCAGCAGAGAGAAGGCTCGCTTTTCCTGGATCGGTTTTCTGCGCCGAGAAAGCTCATTATTATTTGTTGCTATGGCACTTTCATCCTTTTTTTCTCAAATTGCACTTTCTTTTCCCGAAGAACGCATGCTAATCTTCATTTTTTCTGATGAATAATCATTATTTTACAAATTCGTAATTGTCTCAATTATTTCTAGGCCCGGTCGGTAAGATATCTCGTTACGCTTTAGGTGATTAAAGACATTCGAATGTGGTAATGACGCTCAGTATGCACCACTTACATCTCAAAACGATTTAGGTCTTATCAGATGCTCCTGCTGGAAAAACTACTGAGCTGGTGTATCCCTCCAGAAGACGAAGCCTATCTTTCGACGCTAATTCCAATAAATAAAATCGCTGCACTTCATGCAGCTGTAATACGGTAAAATGTAAAAAAGCCACTGTTGCAAAACTATCGGAATGTGCTTGAAAAAGAAATGGAAAATTGGCATGAATTCGAAAATCCATTCGTAGATCATCCGGCAATGCAGGCGATTGGTGCTAAATGGTCATAACTATGAGTTTCATGCCCCAGTTGTTTTCGTGGAACTGAAAAAAAATAGCAGCTCATAAATGAAATGACTCCTTTTTCATTTAGAATTGGCTGCTTTAGTTCCCAAATCCTTCAAAAGCTTTAAAAAAATTCTGGACTGCAAGGCAGTGTCATCTTAAAAGGCCTAAGTGGCTTCTTTTTAAATGGATGTTTTCGAACCACCACGCATATATGTCTGTGTGTGTCTGAAAAATCAGTAATTCGCCTTTCTTTAAAATGCTTTCGAAGCTGCTCTAGCCCAGGCATCATAAGAGGGCCGTTGGATGGCCTAACCCAGTCTTCCTAACGGAGGCTTAGCTAGCGGCGCTTAGCTTCGGATCCATAGGTGCGCATTGATTTTATGCATTCATTTGTTTGTTTTTCTATGCTTGTATATGTGTGTGTGTTTGGATGTATGTAGGTGTATGTGTGAGGATGTGTCTGTCGCTGTGCTATCCGGCTATCGTCATTACGAGGATTTATGGATGAGAATTTTTCTCAGGATAGCAAGACACACGTACGCAGGATGTTGTTGTTGTGGCGAGAAACTTACGTTTGGGGATTATAAAACTCATTTTTAAAACTTTTTTACAAAATCTTTTTATTTTTACAGCGTATTTCAAGGTTTTCGTACTCGCTATTGAGCTAACGAAATTTTTTTGTTTACGATTTGAACTTTGAAGAGCATTCCATCTCTAGTGATGGAGGAAGGGGGAAGGGGTGCGGGAGTAGTATTGCAGTGTACAAGAAGATTCTGTTTAAAAAATTTCAGGAGGATGCGAGGAAATCTTATCAAATTTTGTCATCCTACAGTGTAGAGGTGTTTCCCAAAACAGCTTAGAGGCACTTTTTAACTAATCAAATGAGCAAGCAAGAAATTTGGAATAATTTCTGGCCAGATTGCTGTTATGGCCTTTCATTATCTCCAGATCCTTGGAATCGTGAAGTATTTTAGGTGACACAGATCGCCCCCGTACTCTTTGTAACAGCTGGGCCACTTTTGTTTGTACGTGTGCCAATCATATACAAACCATTCTGTATTGTCAAATGCTGTTGCAAAAATGTAGTGTGCGCTTTTCCAATTTTTACTTGCTTTTCGCAGGTGTCAGCTACGTTATTGTGTGTCGCATCGCCAAATTAGCATCGATGGCTTGACAGTGAGTATTTCGAAAAACTCAGTGATATTATAGCACAAAGGATTACTAAAGCTGGGGCGATTTAAATTTTTGAAAAATGGCTAACCATTGCTGGATAATGATGACGATGACGATTATGGTGAAAATTGATGACGATGACGTTTTCACGATGCTACTTGGCTGAAGCTGGCTTGTTTCAGAACTGCATCAAGATCCGTGAAGCAGCATTCACTCAAACTTCCCTTTTTTACGATTCGCTATCTTTTCATCTCTCCATCCTTTCCTCATTTCTATTTTTTTTTTACAAAAAGTAGCCATCTCTTTTTTTGCGTTGTGCCATTTCTTTTTGCTTTTTCCAATAACTAATTGTAAAGACTCAAATTTCGTTAAGATGGCTTTGCTTGATTTTCCGGGAGTTGAGTATAATCAATAGTACCATGTGCAAGAAAATTCAGAAAGTCATGCCTTATATGTTTCTTACTCGATGAAAAAGAAAAAACATAGTCACGTTGTCGTGTCTGTGGGAATGTTTGTTTCTGTCCGTATGTTAGAATAATTAACTTTCTCAGCAAAGCCAGGACGACAAGACTTTTGGAAAATTTCTGCTGTGTGCGTAGAGTTACCAGCCTGGAATTAAGTTTCACACTTTTTTGTTTTCCTGTCACATGCCAAATCCAGATTAATGTTCTAAACTTGATCAGAAAAATGGCAAAATGAAATTTTCATGGGCTCGAATTATCCTGCTATAATGTGAGAAGAAATGCTTCATAAAAACGGGCCTTCTGCATTTTACCTGCAAATTCGGCGTCGCCATACCATTCCAAATTCTAATACCTTGTTATGAATGGTGCCTCTTTTCGAAAATGGTCATAGATCGGAAAGGAAATGAACCACAGCTTTTTACATCCGGACATGACGTACTAGCCGCTACAGCATTGGTCTTTGCGCTGTAGGGTCAACTTGGCGATTCATCTGTTCCTTTCAAGGCAGAATACATCTTTTCTTTTTATGCGTTTTTGCCTATATGCAAATTGCAAAAACGCATATTGGGACGACCCTGTCT